GATAGAAATTTTAGGTTGCAAATCCATAACTCATAATAATAACATAACAACAAGCGAGCAAGCGTTGCAATCCCCTTCGTTGTCAGCAGTAGAACCTTTTCAATGACCGCAATGTAGGATGTGTCGTGGTCGTGACAGGAACTGATAACAACTGATAAGAGCTGATAAGGGGCCTTAGAGAGCAGGAGGGGATTCATGATCAAACACTGGCTCATTGAAATAGTCCATTCAATAAGACGTTTAATTGCAGTAATAGCGATCGAACAAAGACTACTCTCCATGACGAAATGGGAATTTCGTTCATTTCTTGCTATTAGTACGACCGTTACGCAGTAAGCTTTGTGACACGTTGAAGTACCACGATTCTTTTTTGTTTTGTGACTTACATTTGTGACTGAACTCATCTAACCGCTAATGATTTGGAAATCCAAATTAATGAAAAATCCGTTGGAAAATGTTCCATTGATAACGACATCTGCGATAGGCGTTATTATCCATTTCTGGGAACCATTCAAGACAATGGTTGTCAATCAGTTAAGCCAGCAATCTGACACATCTTTGAAATGAAGAGCAATGAATCGAGACTTTTAATTAGTATATAATCAATTATAATACAGAAAAACCGCTCCAAATTTAATACTGAGGGAGTGAAGCTTTCAAAGAGAAAGTAGAATCCGAAATTGTATTTACGCATAGCAAATTTCTTGCAAGGAGGAGCGCCCGGCGAAGCCGGGCGAACCCATTAAGAAGGAGGGAAGCACTTCGTTAGCCGGGCGGCCCGACTGGTATATAATACATTCTCATGAATTTGGAATTGGTAGACGTGAGAGTGTAAGCCAACAGCTAGCACCTATTCCAACTCAGTTTGGCAGGCGATATGGTGCTCGCGGCTAGTGTTAAAAAAGAGGCAGGAATGATGACCGAATTGGCAACATTAGTGGAAAGATCGGCAGAGTGGCAGATGTGATTGAAACGCCGACCAACGAAGACCGCCCTGTTCAGTAACCGGATCTCTTGCCATGAACGGACGGAATAATTTTGCAGCATGTTCTACGCGTGTAACCTATTTCATTTTTCTACGCATAAAAGCAAGAACTGCAAGATGCTTTTTAACAGCCTACTATCGAGCTTTAAGCGGTGCATAATCCTACTTTATATAATTCGCTAAGTGTGTCTGTTGGTGTGCCGGTGTGTGTGTTGGTGTGTGTTTGACCGGAAATTCATAACTCCTGTTCCCCCTGGAATTAGAAAGCTCAAATTTGGTAGGAGTACAGGGGGCGGCATGGGAACGCCTACGGCTGGTGGCGGACCGGACTCCTTCCACAGGGACGGGGCGTGCGCGACAGAAATTTTAGATCGCAAATTCATAACTGCTGTTTACGTGGACCTAGAGAGTTCAAATTCAGTAGGAGTACGGGGACAAGGATGGGAACACTCATGGCAGGTGGCAGAACCAGACTTATCCTAGAGGGGGTAGGAATTGTGCAGAGTAAACGTTTGAGAGGAAATTCGTAACTTCTGTTCCTATGGACCTAGAGAGTTTAAATATGGTAAGGTTACAGCTTTTTGTATTAACAGTGGAACGGCTTTTTAATACGTGGTGTTGGATATGACGGGATCCTAGGTACTCGGTGACAAGAACCGATAGTAACTGACAAAAGTAGATAAGGGGCCTAAGAGAGCAAGATCCACCTACCGATCGAATTTTCAACCCTTCGGTATTTACAATGTAGCTTTGGCTGTTCAGTAAGTTTCATTCGATAAGATGAGATGGTAGAGTAGGGTGACAAAAGGAGTGGTAAGTGCAGTTGTAGGGTCCCATTAGCAGCATTACGATAAGCAGATTAAAATTTTGTTCATTTCTTGCTATTAGATTACGACCGCTTTACAGCAAAGTTTGTGACTTGATGAAGGGTCCTCATTGTTCGATATCATTTGTGACAAAATTACCCGATCGCCAGTTATTTGAAACTCTTAACTAATGGTATCTGTGTGAAGTAAAAGGTTTATTGACAACATCTGATAATGGAGTTATCATCACACGAAATATTTGTAAGTACCGCCCAAGGCTTTGGTTACCTAATAGTTCAATCTTTATTGGGTATTTATCTGCAAGAACAAGAGCAAGAGATCAAGTTTCCCAATTAAAAACTTAAGCACTGAATACCAATAACCTATAGTCCTGTGACGAACTTCGTGAACAGGAAAATATTATTTGCGCCCGGCGATAGCCGGGCGCAAATAATATTTTCCTGTTCACGAAGTTCGTCACAGGACTATAGGTTATTGG